CCATTTTTTTGTAGATACCGTAATTTGGAAGATATTCGGATCTATAGATTAAAATGACTCACCCTGTATATCGATATTTAATTAGAATTAGATTTTTATAGTTAATATGTAACAAGAATAAATTATATATTGCATTAGAATATTTATTAATACATTAATTATATAAATTTAGCTTTTCTGATGCTTTGTTATCTACTATCACATAAATTTTCAAAATAGTCAACAGACTTAAAATAAACTTTCGTAACATTCTTTACGAAATAAATCTAGTTTCTAATATCTATGAGACAAAGTTTTGCATATAGGGTAACTCCGGCAAATACGCCGTACTGGGATTTACGCCACAGAAGTCAGAAAAAATAGAAGGAGTGGGAGTAATTTTCCCGTAACTACTTTGTTACATGCTTTTATGTTATATTAGTATTGTGTTATGATTTCAGCTTCTTACTATTAATATTAATGAATTTATTGTGAGTTGAATCGATTTGTCACTGTAATAAGTAACGCCATCATAAGTTATAATCTACATAAAATGATTAATGTAGGACGTGTAAAAGACTTAGTGGTTATTTCGTGATACATACGTGTAGTGGAATAGTAAAGCATGTTTGTATTATTAAGCGTGTTTGTATTATTTGTAAATTTTTATAGTTCGTTTACTATAAACTTAGTGAATAATACTTAATAAATTAAATTTTTGATAGCTGCAGCGTATATATCGGAGTTACCCTACTGAGTATTTTAAGGAAACGAATAACGAATTATCAAAAGCAATTAAGTAGAAACGAAATTGCTATTAGACTCACGTACTATAGTGCATATCTTTCTGTTTAAATAAAACATTTGTTAATAACAAGAATACTTTTGGAAAGAAAAAAGTTATTAAAAATTTGTTGATGTGATTTTAATTAAGACAAAGAGGTATAGGTTTGGTTGTTAAAGATTAAAATATATATATAATATATATATAAACTATACAATGTTAGTGTAGGATTTTTAAAGGTTATTTATATTTATATATTATATAAAATTTAATTTATTTTAAATAAAGGATTATTAGCGTCCAATCAAATGAATCCGCTCAAAATGATATCGAATAATTATTGTGTGACCGAACAATATACAATAATTTTGGTGATTTATGGTATTCTACTGACAAACAGTTTCTCACTGACAACAGGAAATCATTATTTCGCGGACATAATTGGGCGAATTTTGCAGAAAGAGACTATTATTGACGAAAATCCAGCGTACTTATTCAAGTAGAACTCAATTTATTATATCATCGAAATAACGTCAAAATAATTATGAAATTATTCGTTATTTTTCAATCAATAGCGATTCATTTTAATGTCATTTCGACGTTACTGTGATCTTATTGTTCTACTTAGGTAGTTTTATCAAAATTAAATAATAAGTAAACTTAATAAACTGTTATTTATAAATACGTCCAAATTTTTTCAGCTTTGCGTCATACTGCTTATACGTGCTACGAAATTAATGTTATCATGGCATTCTATTAAAAAAATGAAGGAAGATGAAAAACAATTTAATCATATTTATTATCATAGTAAACAAAAGTTATAAATCGTAAGTTAACAAAAAAAAATCGTAAATTTACAATTAATTTTTTATCGTTATGTGGTTCTATGATTAGACCCGCGTAAACATGTAGGTAAAAAATTAAAAATACATTATTATCTGTATACTAAAGTCATATATCTTTCAAGGAAAGACATCCAAGTATCCTTCTGTGATTTTGGTGAGCTTTGAATATGTTAAACTGTATTCTGAACAAAAATATCATTTAGATATTTTATTCTAATAAAATTGTCGCGTTATAGCGAATCATAATCTAATTATAATTTTTCATTAGTTCATGACGTCATTATTAAGGAATTTAACAACGTGTTTACCGGGGAAGATAAATATTAATTATAAATAAAATGACTTGCACGAATGTCGTAATATTTACAGCGACTTTTTTTAATGACGCGCGCGGCGATGTCAATTAATTTTCTGCACCGGAAAACATCGCATGTGCTATCGTCTTATTGTTCTGTAGATTAATGTTTATTGCTTGACTGAAGGACAAACTTGCATGAGTTTAATATTGACTAAGTCTCAGTTATTCAAGATTCTGATGAAGACACAAAGCCTGTGATGAATGAATAGATGAATATACCGACGTAGATATAAAGCCTGTAAATCCTGTTCTACGTATCATTTCGAGATCGGCTTTAGGAAACTACACAGTGAAGTAAGCATTTAAGAGAAACAAACGACTGAATTCGAAGACGAATAATTTCAGGTTAGTCACTTTAGTGTATTGTTTAATATCAATTTTACTTCTTGTACTAGACTGCATTGGAACTTTTTTTCTCGCTTCTACGATATATTTATACATATGTATACATATCTATTTTATTTTAAATTCTAAAAGTGTAGTTCAGGTTCACAGAAAATTGACACTTTTTGTTCTCGAATCTTGACATCGATATTCACAGTAGGAGTTTATTGAGGAAAACTTTAAATAAAGTCCCAAACATTGAAACCTCATAGTAAATTCTTTATACATATATTACATTTTTCGAAAATATAAAATGTTGTAAATAATGCATAATGATATGTGTGTGAAACGTATACAAATAAAGAAAGTTTAATGAATTCTATAATACATAACTTAATACTGAATGTGACAAATAAGTTTCGAAATTGAAACCTTAAAAAAACACATGAAAATTGAAAATAATTATTAATATAATATTTATCACTATCCAATATAGTTCCCATCCTCTTCTAATTAGCCTACCCAAGGAGCAAAACCTATATGGATAACAGTTATAGAAATGTTTATACGACTTTCTATAAAACTTTGTAACTTTTCTTACAACTGTTTTGCAACTAAACAGTGCAGGCAGTAACGTCGTTGAAATGTTTATGTCAACAAAGTGGGGAATCTATACGACTAATTTCTAACTTATATTAACCACATTAAAACTTGTAATATATTATACTACTGTGTGTGTTTTACAACAAACCGTTAATAGATATAAAATAACGTCTCAATGATTGTCTTAAATACCACGTACAGATGTTAATACAACTTTCCCAAGGAACAAAATCTATATGGATAACAGTTATAGAAATGTTTATACGACTTTTTTTAAAACTTTATAACTTTTCTACAACTGTATTGCAACTAAACAGTGCAGGCAATAACGTCGTTAAAATGTTTATGTCAACAAAGTGGGGAATCTATACGACTAATTTCTGACGTTATATTAACCACATTAAAACTTGTAATATACTACTGTTTTACAACAAACCGTTAATAGATATAAAATAACGTCTCAATGATTGTCTTAAATACCACGTACAAACGTTAATACAACTTTCTTCAATAATTATCAAAATTATTAAAATGATCAAAATTAAACATTTTTTTATTGTTATATTTTTGATATTCATTACGTTTAAGATGCCCCGAATATTTATACGCAAGTACATATTTATGAAAACGCATGTGGTTTCGACGGAGTTTGAACCTAAGGACCTATGGGACGGGAATAACACGCACGCTTGTCTCGACAGTTTGGAATTCAACTGTTATTCGACTCCTTGGTACCGAGCATATAATTTTTTCTCTTGTGCGGAAACGTGAAAAGTGAAAATTTATATATATAATATACATATATATAAATTTTCTCTAATATATATATATTAATAATAATATATACATCTCTAATCAGCATATAATATTAAAACAACATTTTTTAAACATTTATTCAATATTTTTACATTAAATACATTTTTTAAAAATATTTTTTAAATATTTTGCGTGCGTGCGTGCGTGCGTGTGTGTGTGTGGATCATTCTAAAGAGCCATATATATTTTTCATGAAAAAGCTCTTCGTCGTTAATAAGATTTTTCAAATCATCTTCACTTTCATCTTGGTCAGATATGGATTCAAGAACATAGCTTTCACATTGATCACTTTTAAAAGATGAATTTAGTGTTGATGATAACGGAGATAGTGGACTGTGATCGCCATAATTTAATTGTGTCTTTGATTTAAGATATGCAGTTTCTACATTATTTTCGCACGTTCTGCTTTTCTTTGTAGCTGCAGTTGTCTGCTGCTTTAAATAATATTTTACTCTCCTGTAATAGCTACTACTGTGCTTAAACACTTTTTTTCCTTTTCATTTTATTTATCCAGATTTGACTCTATTAAAATTAATGAACGTATATACACACGCAAGACAGATTAATTATGATAATCATAACCTGCAACTTTACTTTATGAAGTTATATGGTATGAAGTTATATACATAACGTACATAAAGTTATAATGTACGTACCGTTTTATAAATATACACATTATTTCAACGCAACAACGTTTGTCTTTGCAGTTGTATAAATGTCCTAAAAACCTGACATTATGACTCAAAAGTTGAATTGAAATACTCGTATACGGAGTTACATAAGCGTTTTAAAAACTTGTAATGAGTATTATAAGATTGTTAACATATAATAAGTCGTATAGACGTTACAAAATCTTAAAATGAATACTACATAACGATTATTTTGTGTAGAGTCGTATGGACGTTATATAAATTTCTAATGAATATATACATATATTGACTAAATGTTATGTGTTTATATAAACGTTTTAAAAACTACAAATAGTTATATAACCGACATTAACTTTTTAGTCGTATAATTTTTCGATATGTAAATGGTACAAACGTTTTATGATGTTATAAAAACTTTCTCATAACTTTGTGCTCCTTGGGTATACATCACTATAAAACGAATCGAATGTCCATATATGAAAACTTCTTCTGATTCATCCTTAATTCTTCCGCCTGATAATTGGATTGACTACACGTATTCAAATCCCGTCCTTTTTATAGTAAATTTTAATTTAGGAAATAAAAAAGTATTCCAGATAGCATATACCTATAAAAAACGTCATAGAGACATCATAAAGATATCTTTTGGGATATACATATCTAAAAAATATCTAAAAGGCGTCTGCCTTTGTCGTTTTTTTATTACAATTTGTTACATAGAGCTCTTCGAGTACAAACACGTCGTGCACGACGCATTATAATCGGTCATTACATACACACTCGCATAGACATAGATACGAGTCTTTTTCTTCGGTGCTTGGCATCGGTTCTCCGGGAGAAAGAAAAACGGCGAAGATGGCATAAATCAAAGCGATTTTCGGCTCCGCGCGGCTTATCTATGTCTCGCCTTTCGTCATCCGGCTACGTTTTTGTGATCGACCAATAAAATATCGAAACAACAATTTCGACCGTGGTGGGGAGCGTCGTTCGGACGGAGAAATGCACTCACTTGATCAGCTGTGTGAAGTTGGCCCCCCCACTACTAAAATTCTAAAAATAACCATTACCATTCGTTTGGTGGTCGCTTACTGACGTTTGGTAGTCCATTGCGGACATTTGGTAGTCAATATAAATAACGGAGAATGCGAAAAAAAGGTGAATGCGCGTGAAGTTGGCCCCCCCCCTTCTAAAACTCGGCTTTCCCAACTGCGTATAGACCGTGTTCCAAAATTTATTGTCAGTACTGAAAATCTATATCACTTAACGTAAAATAGATTTTTAGTACTTGCAGTGAAACCGGAACGCAGCTACATAGGTTACCGTACAGCTACATATTTATACCGTACGCTTAGTCCGCGGCCTATACAACAGATGTCCTTGTTTAACCACACCTCGAAAAAAATAATATCCAAAAAAAATTACAAAGTTTTTTAAATTAAATTTATTTTGGAACACAGCCTACATATATGAAATCGAAAAAGTTGAGTTTTAGAAATGAACAGGTTAAATTCACGAGCACCGTTTATTGATATTTTTAGTTATAATAGTTATGACTACCAATCATCGAGAATTGCATTATCAAACATCAGTAAGCCACCAAATGAATACTTACAGTTATTATTCGTCAGTCGGGAAAGCCAAGTTTTAGAAGGGAGGGGATCAACGTCACGCGCAGTCGTCTTTTTTTCGCATTCTCCGTTATTTATATTGACTACCAAACGTCAGTAAGCGACCACCAAACAAATGCTTACAGTCATTATTGCATACGCAGTCGGGAAAGCCGAGTTTTAGAAGGGGGGGGCCAACTTCACGCGCATTCGTCTTTTTTTCAATTCTCCGTTATTTCTATTGACTACCAAACAAATTAATTCGGTCCGTTTTTTTAGTGTAAAGAATGCCTTTATTTCAAAACAAGATAAATAAACATATTAATCAAAGTATTGTCCATCGTTGGCTACTACATTTTCCCATCTCTCACGCAATTTTCGAATTTCATCTCGAAAAAATGTCTCGTCTTTTTCGGTGATCCATGTTTGGAGCCAATTTTTGATTTCTTCGACAGAAGTGAAGTGGTGACTTGCCAAATCGTGCTGCATCCGTCGGAACAACCAGTAATCGGAAGAAGCAATGTCTGGCGAATACGGCGGGTGCGGTAAAATATCCCACTTGAGCGTTTCTAGTTAATTTTTCACGACTTTTGCGACATGAGACCGAGCGTTATCATGTAAAAGAATAACTTTGTCGTGTCTGTCCTTGTATTCTGGCCTTTTTGCTCGTAATTCCCGGCTCAAACGCATCAATTGCAGTCTATACCGATCGCCCGTAATGGAATCACCGGGTTTTAATAGGGTTTAATATACAACACCCCTTTGATCCCACCAGATACACAACATAACCTTCGAACCATGAATATTCGGCTTTGATGTTGATGTTGAGGTCGATGGCAACGATTGACCAGGCCTAGCGTAGTATTTTTTCTGCTTGGGATTATCATAAAATATCCACTTCTCATCACCACAATCCGATGCAAAAACCCCTTTTTTTTTTGCTTTTGAAGCAGCTGCTCGCAAATGCAAAATCGCCTTTCAATGTCTCTCGGTTTCAGTTCATAAGGCACCCAATTTCCTTGCTTGTGAATCATTCCCATGGATTTTAATCGTGCTGAAACTGCTTGTTGTATCACTTCCAATGATTTTGCAAGCTCATCTTGCGTTTGATTTGGATTTTCATCGAGTAATTCCTCCAATTCTTTGTCTTCGAATTTTTTTGGCTGTCCAGGACGAGGCTTGTCTTCAACACTGAAATCACCATTCTTAAATCGTCGAAACCATTCCCGACATGATTTATCAGTTGGAGCATTGTCGCCATAAACTTCCACAAGTATTCTATGCGCTTCAGCTGCACTTTTCTTCCAATTAAAACAGAAAAGTAAAACTTCCCGTAAATGCTGCTTTTTTACCACAAATTCTGACATTTTCAACAAAATAAAAAATATGTTTTCTATAAAACTTAAAGCAATTTGCACTGTATATTATTCATAGATGTTTAACCTCTCTGATACCATCGCAATCAGCTGTCTCTATGAAACATTCCCAGCCGCTACAGTCATCTGTTGGAAAACGGACGAATTAATTTGTACTCCCAAATATATATATTTATAATTTATATAAGTATAAATTAAAAACTAATTTAAATTTGAAAAAGAAATTTAAAGCGTTTAAGAAATGACCCAAGAAGTCGAATCTCACGCACGCACGCACGCACTAAGGATGCTTTAAAGCGTAAAATTTAAGCTTTAAACCTTAAGTCATAAAAAATTGGGAGGGAGACACTATTCACGCTATGGACGCAAACGTTACCAACGCTATTCGTGGAGTCAAAAGCACGACAGCGTTAGTAAGCTCCATGAACGACCCTAGCGAGCGTTGGTAGCGTTTAATGTAGAAGATTCTGTTCCCAAGCACCGACGGCACCGATTAAACTTTTCTACATTTACAATTTCGTAGAGTAAACGTACGTAATAAGTCTATAGTACTCGCAGTAAATAAAGCGGCGTCTACAATGAGATTTTATGGCGTAAAATTCAAGATTAAACCTTAAATCGTAAAAAATTGAACCATCAATAATCGAGTGTTCTCCTCACACTCGACTGTGATTAGTCAATTTCTTATGACTTAAGGGTTAAAGCTTAAATTTTACGCTTTAAAATCTTATTGTAGACACCACTTTATGGAACACAGCCTAAATTTTAATGTACAGAGAACCAATGTATAACTTAGGAACGTACATGTATATAACCTATAACGATTGTTGAAACAACATTCGACCTATGTACGACAATACAGCAATGCTGTTCTCAGAGCTTGCAAACGATAACGCTACCAGCACACTACCTAGGAAGGAATTCCTTGGTGAAAATTTTTCTCATAATTTTTATACGAATTGGAATATTTTTCAGAAATACTCAGAAATATTTGGAAAGTTTACATCTTCTTTCAGAATTTTTCATACAAATGAATTCTGAAATATTCAGAAATTTCTCATTCCATAATTAAAAAAAAATATTTTTTAATTTTTTAGATCTTATAACATTTCATCAGAAATTATACTTACAAAAACTTTTAGAAATCTCTTACGATATTTCATAAGTAAACGTATATGAAAAATTTTGAGAAAAAATGTTTTCTGAGAAGTGTGCTAGTTCTTATAAAAAATGTGAGAAAGTTATAAAATTATATAGAGAAATTCTGAAAATTATTTGAAAAATTTTCGCCAGGGAATAGTGTTGATAGTACGCAGTTGTGATGTAGGGGAACCTGGGGTATAATGGTTATAGTTAGATTTTTTCAAGTTTTAAACATATTAAAGATAAATAAATCAACTTTGTTATATATTACAATATTTTTTGAAGTATTTACTATAAGGAAAACTTAAGTTTTACTGCAAAAGTATAGATTAACAGGACGAAATTATTGTTTTGTGAGAGTGTGTCGTAACCTTGTTATTATATTGAACATAAATAAAAATGTTTGAGAAGATAACACAAATAAAATAATTCTCATCATTTTTATCTACACTTGCACATGAATCAAAAACTCATTTTAAACATAAAATAACACCAGTACACCATTATGCCTCGAGGTACATAAATTTACTTTAGATAATATAAAATATCACAGATAATCAATATATTTGTATAGATTTTACTAAAGTAACAAGAAAAGATTATATAATAAGATAAATCTACTTATGACAATAAAAAATAGAATTTTGTTATTGCTTACCTTATGCGAACATACCAAAGAATCTGTAACCCATTCGCAGTAAAGCGAACACATTAAACAATTTTTAGCAATTTTCAGGTAAACATAATATGACAACTAATAACAATATATAATAAGATACATCTAACAGTAACTATTGTCTGACAATTCATTACATATTAGCATATTTGTAAAAAGATATCGAGTACATCCCATTATACCCCATGGTTTCATTATACCCCAAGTTCCCCTAACACACTACGTTACTATTAGTAACGTCAAGATGTGTTTGTTAGCGCTATCTCCGCGAACAGTTTGTAACGTTAAGTAACTCGAATAGCGTCTCCCCAAACGCACTCTAAGTAGTTTATACAAGAAATAATAGTGACAAAAGCTGAAAAGTAATTTCAATTAACTTACACACTTTTAGTATAGATGCTGAGTACAATAAAATATAACTACAACTAATAGAATAGAAAATCCATAAATAAAACTCTTGAATATAGACAAGAAATATAGTTGTGTGTGAATACTATAAAATTTATATAACATAAAATTAACTACTTTGATTTCTTAGCAGTTCTTTTAGCTATTCTTTTATCATATATGCTATTTTGTGTACTGCCTTGTTTTATCGTTAATATTTAACCTTTAGACTGTCGGCATTTTTTCGTTAAAGTAGTGATTTTTTCCTGGAAATTTTTTTTATATAAGTAACATACCCATGGCGCAGAATATCGAAATTTATGCAGAGCCATAAAAGTGGCTTTCCCGGCAGGGAACGTATGATCAAATAAAAAAAATTTTTATTTTCTCAAAAATAGTGTATTTCAGGATTCTTGGTATCACTGATTCCAATTTTGAGCATAGATTTAGGAAATCTCGAACCCTAAACGAAATATTGACAACATAAATGAATATAAACGTATAGATTCATGCAGAGAACTTTTCTTTATTTAGCATTACCCAGAACTAACGACATAGACGTAAAAAGTTTATAGCTTTTTTTCTTTTTTGTTTGGTTCTTAAACTTATTTTTTGTATTTTTTTACTTGTTTCTTATTTTATAATTTTTTTACTTTTTTATATTTTTTGTATATTTTTCAATACTTATATATTTTTATATATTTTGGGCAATGTACACATATATATGTTTAATACAATTAGTATTTAATATGCCACCAAAAATAATATTTTAAACCACACTCAAAAGCCACAAAAGTGGCTTTCCCGGCAGTCTAAAAGTTAATACAGGAATGTCTAACTTTAGCTCAAAAACACACAACACAAACACAACACAAAAACAACACAAACACAACACACAAAGAGTTAAAAGACCAGAAGAGCCGAGGAAGCCGGAAAAAAACGTGATAAATTTCATCGAGATTAAATTATTAAACAAACAATTGTTTTTGCGTTTTCTAACACGACTAGGACATAATTTTTCGAGAAAATTCTCCAATTCCAATTCTATTTTTAGAAATGGCCCTAGAAACATCGACATGGCTAAATCTATGCTTCGTGGAGAATATCCTGCGAAAGTCGGAAAACGATAATTCGATTCAGGTGATCGATATATTTTCAAAACCGGCCACAGTCAAGGGTGACAACTACACTAGCGACATGATTAGGATTACTGTTGAATATTCACGCGGCTCTAAGATTAAAGAGAAAAAATCAATTATTGTCAAGCTGTCGCCCGTACTTGAAGGTATTCGAAAGAAAATGGTAAGTTAATCTAATGTGTACATATAATGTTTCTAATATAAAAAGAGAGGAAGAAAGAGGAGAGAGAGAGAGAGAGAGATAAAAGTGGAAATTTTTATTATTTTGAAGTACATATCATTTCTATTCAACAAAAAGATTATAGGACACTTATTTTTGGGTAACTAGTGATTGAAATTATATTCATAAGTCACGTTTACATAAGCGAATATTACTTTGTATTTAAAGAACACATTCTTTATTTGTTTCAAAACAAATTTCGAAACTTTCTACTACACAAATTTTATATATAGAGCTTTACGTTAGCCTTTATATTACAAATAATTGCATGCTTGTTAGATTAAAGGATTCCACTTGATTATCTTAAACAAATTTGTCACAGGTCACACAAGCAGGTTTCTTTCACATCGAGATGTCGATGATGTCGGATACTTTGAATAAAATGAATAAGATGTTAGGGGCAAAACACCGCTTAAGCGCGAAGATTCTCCACATGCAAAATGAAAATCCAGTACTTCTAGTGATCGAAGATCTCGCGTCTCTCGGTTTTCAAATGGCTGATCGTTTGTCTGGTCTTGATCTAAATCATTCCATATTGGCGCTTCACGGACTTGCCAGGTTTCACGCAGCCTCCGTAGCCCTATACGAGAAGGTAAATTTATTTAGGTTTATTTCTGAAAGACATCCAAAAGATAAATCAACAAATATTTTTAGGACCAGTAAGTCTATTAAACTTTTTAACGACAATTTTCTAGCTAGAGGTGGCGTTGTGCAGGTATTTTACATGATGAAAAAGCTGCGTAACGACAGCGCAACCATACCGAAAAGTCGTTAGTTAAAAATTACAGAAAATAGGTTTAAAGAGGCGCTATAGCATATATAAGGCGCCTTTGTGCAAATTTCGCTGCTTTTCTATATATTTTTATTTAGTAATCTTTTAAATAAGATACTTTTTAATATACCTTTTAAATATTCTTAAAGAGGATGCAATTTTTTAATTATATATTATTTCAATTTCGAGAGTCCATAACTAGCATTTTTTGACAATTTTTTAATTTGTGTTTCTGGTGCTGAAGTGGCTCGGAGTATAATTTTGTACATACTGAAAGATATTAGTATCTCTGGGAAATACACAACTATCTGATCCAACTATAATAATAATTTCAAATTTTGTAATACGTATTCATTTAATTAATATACAGTATTTATTTTGAAACATATTAAATTTTACAGGAGAACAAACACCCATGTATGGTGTCAAAAATGAAATATTTATTTTTGAAACTTAATTTAGCATACTCATCTGTTAATACATCTTTGCGTAGTACAGTGCACTATTTGCACACCTGCTCGACGGCCATGTTTAAGACTTCAGTAAAAGTCGTTAAAAAATCAGTTTTTAATAAAATTTTAAAGATGGCTCTTTTAAAATGTCTTTTCAACATGCATAATGTCTAAGCTGTTTTCTAATTTTTTCTATAAAAAAGGGTTTGCTATAAATTGTGAAGAAATTATATGTTAAAATTATTGTGTAGATTTCTTATGTAGCTTGAGAGATCTATTTGATATTCCAAATTTCCTGTTCGCACTACAAAATATAATTACTTAACTTTATAATCAAATGGATAAATACAAAATATTTTTTAATAAAAATGTTTTAATATTTAGTTTTTAATATTAGGAACCAAAACAAAAAGAGATGTATTCGAAAGGAATATTTTGTAACCAGTATCCGCCAGATATGAGAGAAATTTTCATTAAGAGTACTGAAGCTTTAGCAGACGAGATTGTGAACTGGCCAGAAGTGAAAAAGTAAGCTTTATATAAATGATAATATTTATTGCTTTATTTTTAATTATTCGAAGTATTTTATTGTACATGACACAAGATAATAATTATTTAATATGAAGAGATGAATCATGTTAAGAAGAAAATTGCAAACATAAGTATAAATTATACTGTTTGGATTAATATTTATATTATTTTTACATGCTCCATATAATTTTACATTTCTTTGATTTTTATTGCTAGATACTCGGAAAAAATTGCTAAACTGGCCGATCACATATATCAAATAGGATTGGATGCAACCCAGCTCTGTGAAGACGAATTTAATGTTATTAATCATGGTGATTGTCACGTGAATAATATGTTATTCAAATATGATAATAATGGCAAACCTACTGATCAGATTTTTGTAAGTACCATTTTGTTATAAAAAATCATGTACTTTCTCCAAACATGAGTGTTCATTATTTTATTATAATGTTAATTTATAATGTAATTTTATCATGACTTTATATTGCGACTAAGTCTATATAAGAACTAACATATGTAAAAATAAAATCATTCGTGAAATTTTTAATATAATATTTATGTATGATAAGACATATCCCAGATAACATGAATGTTGCATACGATATCTGAAAGATTGACGTCTTTTAGATATTTTATACAATAGAAATGTTATCTGGGATGTTACTGAAACAGCAAATTTATTTTGAAAATATATTTTTTATATACTCAGACAAATATTTTTATTATAAACACAAATTAACATAGCTCATTGTCAGTCACTTTATTATATCAATTATCTATATTTCTGAATTTTTATTATAATTTTCATAATTAAGTGTAATGATATCAATTTTACATGACGATAAATTAAATAAATAATGTTCTAAAAAACATAATTAGGATATATGTTAACGCAATTTAATTATCCGCAATTTCAGCTAGAGCAATCAAGACAAATAGACGGTGATAATATGAGATACTTAAAATCATTGAAAATAGAATGTGTTTTGAATAAATGCATTGCATATTCAGTTTAATCGCGTATGCAGGAATATTTGTCTGTCGATGTCATGCATATGAGCTATCAACAGTTTCCACCGAGAATTCAATCCGGGTCAGAATGTAAAAACCGACGAGCTACAGTCGAGCATTTCCCTGTTACAGTTGAATTACAGGGGAATGCCTGACTGTAGAGTTGGTTGGTTCTTACATTCAAGGTAACAATCATGTAACTTTTTCGCTAGAGCGGAAACGTAAAAAGTGAAAATTTTTATGTATGTATGTTCGTGCATATACGCACATATATACAAAAAATTTTCACTTTTCACGTTTCCGCTCTTAGGAAAAAGTTACATGATCGCTACCCTGACCCGGTTCGAATCCTCGGTGGAAACTAGGTCATTGTCGTCGCGACTTCCTCAACATGATATCCCCCCCCTCTCTCTCTCTCTCTCTCGCGCGCGCGCGCGCGCGGTGTGTGTGTGTGTGTGTGTGTGTGTGTGTTGCATAGATTTTATCTCCAATAAAATTGTCATAGCCTTAAAAGAGTGATGGAACGAAAAAATTTATTTTATTGCAGGTAGACTTCCAATTATCCATCTACGCATCGCCGGCACTCGATCTTCTCTATTTTCTCAATTCAAGTATTTCCTTCGATGTCATTGAATACAAGAAAGATGTTTTATTAAGTGAATACCTTGATACCTTGACAACGACTATGAAACAATTGAACTGCAAGACGCAGCCGCCTACCATGAAGCAACTGAAGGCTACCCTAAAACGAAGAGCTAGCTATGGAATGATAACATCTTTCGTCATTTTACCGTTTATGCTGTGTTGTAAAACTGAGGCAAAAGATTTGGATGAATTGTTTGGCACTGGTACTTTTATGAATCCAGGTTTAAAGAGTGAGAGTTATAAAAAAATATTGATAAAAAGACTGCCACTATATGATGAGTGGGGTTTGCTGGATCTCTAATGTAAACTTCACATTTAGTGATAGAAAATTAAAATATAAAAAATAGAAGTTGAGGAAATAAGGTTATTAGATATGAATATGACAAATACATTAAAATTAATAACAATAGACGAAAAATATTGACGTACTGTTTTAAAAAAGGGTTTTTTTAACCGAATAAACTTGGAATTGTATATAATCACATATTTTTGGTTCGAAAAATTAAAAATTTTTTTGATGGTGGTTTCATTTTTGACTCATTAAAATAAATCGTGATTTTTTAAATTTGTTATCAATATGTCAGAAATAACGGTATATATACATATATGTACATACATTTTGTTTTGTTATGTATAAATACTGCCCTTTGTTATGTATAAATTATGTATAAATTCAACGTACGAGGAGCAGACTTCCAAAACGCATTTTGTTCAAAATTTCGTTTATTGAATTAAAGGCATAGTGGCTATGATTACACCGTGCGCTTAGTCTTATTTAACCTTATTTAACCTGTAAATTAAACAAAGATTTATCTATGGTATAGATCGCGGACTAAGCACACGGTGTAAACCAGGCCAGTGTTCAGTGTTGAGAGACTTAAATGTTGAGCTACGATGTTCTGAAAAATTTCTACATCATCATTTTATGTGCTGAAAAAAATCTTAACATTCGAAATGCATTATGTCCTTTAATTAGAAACAAACAATATGTATTTGTTTAATATTTTTTATAGCAACTGTTTAGCAATTTTGTTAAACACTTCACATCTTACTGATTGGCAAATTGTTATTTTCTGTAAGGCACGTAGTTTTCTTGTGGCTTTTTTCTCGTTTTCTGAATGAGAATTATAAATTTTAGACAAAACACATTTTGAAAGTCTGCTCCTCAAATATTAATAAAGAAACGTTATCAAAAAAAGAGATGTATATAATATTATTCTGTAATAACAAAAATGATGCACAAATTAATTAAGATATGAAATGAAGTATTTTAATTTGTGTTAACATAGAATGCGCATAAGAAAAATTGAAAAAATTATAAAGTAATAAGTAATACAATAACTCGCGGACCTTGTATAGTCTACGTAAATTTTGAGATCTTTTTCTAATTTTTTGCTGAGTCTAAAATTGCAAATTGTTAATCAATTTCAAAAAAGGAAACATTCTTAAACATTCTTAAACAACAAAATTCTTAAACATTTAATTTTATTGACGATCAGTTAAATTCATATTCTGCTTTCTTATATGCAAGACTACGTTACGTATAATTATTGTAATCGATTATTATTGATTAAGTTAATTATTAATAGCAAATTTTTAATATTAAATTTATTTTAATATTGAATTTGATTTGAACTGTGACAAGTATTGTACTTTTCTTGCTAACGATAATCCTTTTCTCTCAATCCCTCAATGCATACAATCGTCGTATAATAAGGATACCCTTAAATGATATCAAACGGGGTTTATAGAATGAAACAAAAATATACAATACAATAATTATCAAGTGAAATTATTCTGTAGAAATGAAATATTTTAGATATGATAGATATTTTACAAAACTTTACATTTTTATTTCAAATAACAGCACGATTGGCGCGTGGCTTTAGTATTTATTTCTGTGCAGCGTATTGTTTACGCACTGTCAGCGTGCTGTCATTCAACTTTGAACTCTCGTTCCGGCAGGTCAATGCCACTCCGAGTATTTTTAGTATTTTTTTTGGAATGCAATTGCGATAAATGCTAGATAATACAAAACATCATATTATACACAATCGTTTATCATATTTTACACAATTACTAACTCGCACGATTGTTAGCTGATTTCGTAAATAGATCGAGATAACAACTCATATATCATAGATGTTTCATGTAGTTTAATCACTTAGAATCGAAACACGATAAAGAACAGGATTATTGTTTCATGACGGTTTACGATAGTTATTTTTGTTTAATACAAAATTTTTCTTCCGTTTGAATATATCTTTCGCTATACATTTTGAAATGTATTATATAAGTTTTAGAAATAAAGTAATATTAATAAATATCACTATGCAAATAACACGATTCATGTGATTCCACAATTGATGCAGTTTGCGTAATTAATAACAATTTAATTAATTTTTCGTTTGCGTGAGTCTTTCGCGATATCGATCGAGAAAGTATAAAAATTGAACGTAACTTTATGATCGTTTGCCAGTAATGACAATAAGCCGGTAATAAATCAAAGAATTATTTTTTCTTCTTATATATATATATATATATATTAATATCTGGCCTACTCGATTGATGTAGTAATCACATCTTACAGAAATTAATAAAAAATTTATCTTTTCTACCTGTCCTGAATTTGTTTAATTGCACTAGTGACAAACTAACGCTTGCTTGACATTCGATCATTTGTACAAGTGAATCGTGAATAATTGTACATTGCATTTCAAATGATATTTTCCCACCTATGTGTATGTACAACCTTGACGAAGGGAGAGAGTTCACTACTTTAAGGATATACGCATGATAAGTATTGTATGACTTTTCTTAATGCCTCAAATTTTTCAGATATATCTAAATTATATATTAGTATATAGCTAAATTTCAAAGTTATAGCTAAATTTTTAGATACTTAAGGAAAATCATAATCCTCATGTAAAAATCTAATGACGGAGAAGCTGATGTATCTTAGTCGCCAATTTAAATGAGCGAATTACAATTGGTTCTTCGCGTCTGCCTCAAGAGTGCCGTTGAAATTATCGGATTAATGAACTTTACACGACTTGTCATTTGATGAAAAACTAATTCAATATGGATTATATCTCCGATGTCTTGGCAACAAGTAGGATTCACAATAAGGCATTGTTGAATGGCCATTGTTATTGCAACATCGGCATTTATCGTATGTCTTGTATATACTCGACTATACTTGTCGACTTTAAGATATTATAGTTTTTATTTTAAAATCATCTTAAGAACATCTAAAGAAATGTTTTAAAAAGCTAAGCTCTGTGATTGACTTACGACATCTTTAGATGGTTTCAAATATAGAATTGACAGTAAATACCGGCCAAAGTGTTAATTCTACCAACCGAATTGAAAGTCCTATCATGAGTTTTGTAAACGTGGAGTACCGCAGTATATATTACGAGAAATTAGGAGGGGGAGGAGGGGGGAGGAGGAGGAGGAGGAATCTTGCATCTTGGGCGGAACAACCTCTTTAGAGGTATCTTTTATCTATATAAAAAAATAATAGTGGTTCCCCCCATTTGTTCGAACTGCTTTTATCTCGATAAATTAACATTCAGAGAACGAAAACCCATACAAAATTTATATAAATTTGTTCTTCTTTCTGAAATTCTTCCTGAAAATAACATATTCTACGTTCATTTCTGAATTTACGAGATGATACTATTTTTTAATACGCGGTTAATAACTCTTCACATGGTATTTATACGCGGATAATAACTTTTCACATGATATTTTTTTGTAAATTTTCATTATTTTTTATTTTTTGTGCAAATACGTAAAATATGTTTACAATATACACGGTTTTTTTTATATTTGTTTTTATATTATCATTTCAAACTCTACATTTTCAATCCTGTAAAAATATTACGTAGAAGTAAAATATATGTTCCATGTAAATCGAAAGACAAAGTGCATCTAATAAATATTTAATTGCAAAATGAATAAAAAATTCGATGCGCGTAAGAATTATCTTTTGAAATATTAATCATTTTTATATTTAATCAGAATCTTCTGATTTTTTGCTACTGTTACGTCACGTTACTATTGAAATTTTCTCCATTTTAGGATCAATCACTAGGAAGTATTGGAAAATGATTCGGAAGGGTAATTTTGAACCGGGTGCCAAAAAGACTACGAAGCTTATAGGCGAATCAACGTGGATCGGCTTTTCGAATGCCCTTGTAGTTAGGAAACGTGAGATCGATCTTCAATTTCTTGAGAGTATACCTATACACGTTCGCGGGTTGAGTCTGCCGGTTTGTTTTGATCTAATAGCTGCGCTAATTTTTGGAAATAAGGGAAAGGATCGTGATTTGAAATGAGAGCTGATTTTATTTGAAATCTTAATCTCTTCTCTTGCTGTCTTTGTCCGCCTTTAGTAGGTATCGAGATAATACAAAAGAATTATCAATGTTCCGAAGAAGTGCTATAAGACGGGGGCGCGCGCCACGCTATTGGCAGTGACAGTCGCAGCAGACTTTCGGATGTAAGGTAATTATGAATACTCCGAGGAAGTGCCGTAAGACGGGGGCCACGCTATTGGCAGCGACAGTCGCAACAATAACTCGTAATAACTCAGGTACTCGTATGTATATATGTTTTTATGTAATGGGACGCAGAGCAGAGATGCAGGTTTCAGCTGATTTGATTCAGTATTCTCGTTTAATAAAATAATAAAAAACAGAACCATAGAAAGGACATACGAGTGAGTTTCTGACGAAACGCGAGGATAGTTCTCACCTTGATCTAACTGATTTCTAACTGTACTAGATGGGTTTCTACTTCTACTCTCGGGTGTTTTCGCTTTTGGCAGGTCCTTTTATATTTTGGAAATGAGTGTGGGAGTGTCCTTTCAGGACCAATCAACACTCAACAAGGTTTGGTAGAACTTATATATTCGCGCTTGTTTCCTTAAAATAAGACAGCAAGGCTCTGCGTAAGCCCTACTCCCCACTCTACGAATTTAGTCTTAATAGATAATGGTTGAGAGTTTTAATAATTTATAATAAAAATTCAATCTTTCTTAACTAACATCCTTATGCGAGGCGAATCCACTACATTCCGAATCATATATCTAAAATTGGTTTAATTTTATTGGAAGCAAAAAGAAAGAAAAAGAAAAGAAGAAAAAGATATTCTTCCTCGCATTCAGGAAGATTTCTATTTTATTGTTAAACATTAATGTAATATACGCTAATATAATATACTATTACCAATATAATGTTAATATACGCTATTATTTTATAGAAGGACTTCTTTGAAAAAGATCGGGGGATATTCTTAGACATTCTTTAGAGTAGATAATATGTGTGACGCATAAAGG